CTTTTGATATGCGAAGTACACTCTATCGTATGCTTATTCAATTTTCGCCTTTTTACTTTAATAAAAACACTAGGAATTTTCGCTTTATCCAGTTTTCTCAGTGAATCAAAGTGTCTAAAGTATTTGGATATACGCAACAATAATTTAGATATAGCCTCTATAATGGCTTTATCAAAAACTTTATTCATTAATAAAACATTAACAAGTCTGGTTTCAGATGCACATCGTTGGGCGAATTCTCAGTTGGATCTATCTGATGTAGGTTCAATTTAATGATATATATAATGGAATATACTCGTTGAGACATAAGATAAAAGAGATTGGTTCAGCCAACAGTCCTCTTTTCGGCAAATTCAGATAGATAAAGAATTATAGTTGAAAAGAGAAGGCTCAGAGTGATATGGTGTTGAAGTTGAGATGGAGTGTAGTCGGGTGAATAGTGGGAACAAAACCAAATCATCTGAGACTAAATGGTCTATAACGATGAAGACAGAAGGAATGCAGATTACTGTGAACAAAGAAAAGGAGGAAAAAGAAAAGTTACGAGAGATTAAGACTGTGGTAGAAGAAGAGGTTGTACAAGTTTCTTTAGTACACAAAATTGTGGTTCTACTAGATATATAGCTAGTGCTTCGATAATGCTAAGAAGATGGAACATAACTGCTTTTGACAGCTCTTTAATTACCTTGTAGATGAATTTGAAAGCAGAGTCCGTTTTCATCAAATAACATGTGTGTTTACAAGATGTTCAGTTATTGAACTCTGTTTGTTTTACCTCACTGCTATCATGTTTAGCTAAATTTTACTATCACTATTATTATAAATATTACCATTTCGAAAAATAAGTATATATTTATGCTTGTACAACTTTGAAAATGAATTCTCCGAGAAGTGAACTGTTCAGCTAACCAATCTTTCTTGTTTTACATACATACATTTGTTTTAGAAGTTTTTTACCACTGGTTTATATTATTTTGAACAACGGTCGGATAACGGATTGTGTTGCATTGCTTTATCATTTTATCTTGAGGTGGTGTCGATGTAGTACATAGATATATTTGTCTCTTTAGGAATTAATGCAGTGTGTTTGAATTTCTTGGTTTGGTATATTGAGTTATATGAGGATCATCTTACAGAGTATAATCTGCCAAATTTTAATCAACGTATAACACAACACGTTTATGCCATTATTGTAGGAGATTCTCTTTGGGCTTTAACGTCTCAGAATACTTTAAATTTTTAATATCTCAGGTACCTTAAATAATGTCACTTTCAATGGAGTTACTGTTTCTCATAATGAGACTGTAGATATATGTATACTCGTCAGTTACTAGTATTTGATCACAGATGTCTTAGGAATATTGCTCGCATCTGCTGGGATCACCGGGTAAGTAATAGTGAGATCAGACGTAGGGTATTACGGAATGATGGTAAATCAGTTGATGAAGTTGTCTTTCTACATTGACTGAGATGGTTGGGCCACGTGTTACGTATGCCTGAACACTGATTACCACGGCACGCAATGCTGACTAGTGTTGGATACGGTTGGAAGAGAGTTACTGGCAGTGAAACCAAGACGTGACATTAATCCATAAAGTCACTAACTTCTGGTCTGAGCCATGTTGATAGATGCAAACTACTCGGTTGGGGTCCACTCACCTATCGTAACCAATGGTTGGAAACTGAGTGATATGACTCAGAATGGATCACAATGACGTAGGAGTATACACTGTTTATCTTCCCTTAAACCGTGAGATTTAAATTACTTTGTACCTTTCTTTTTACGAACTAATTCTTTCTCCCTGTATTATATCCTTATATGCAGTCTTTCTTTAAATATTACTAGCGTTGGCGCAATCGCTTCTATGAATTAGGTGTTCATCTTGTTATGCTAATGAGGTATGACAACGTGGACTGATGCATATATATGCATGTTAGATATGAACTATATAATTGGTACACACTGATTCACATTTCTAATTTCAGCTAATTCACGATACAGAGCATGACCTTAATCCAATGCTATTGACGATATCTCACTCTTAACATGATCAAACTCCACTGGTAAACGTGACATTATTCTGTTAATAATTATTTGTGGTTTGAATGCCAGATTCTGTTTCGTTTTGTAGGTCGATACCTCATACGAATAGGTTTTGTTATTGGTCTATACATCATCTATTCAGCTTGTTAACCAATAAAAGTCGTCATGTACTTCATGCTTATTTATGGAGATAGTTTCTGTGTAGTTGAAATAATATTGATTCTTGATTATCCAATCGAAGTGTCTTCTTTAGTGTGTACGGAGTTGTTGGCGTTTACCAACTTTTTTCAGCTGTGTAGTAAGTATGAACACCGTCTGCGAAGTGGAGAGTGTGTTTATTGTCCAACATTCGGCTCTGAATCGTGGTCTATGAAAATAGAAGACATGCGTAAGCTAGAGGTGTTTGATCACAATTTTCGTAGTCATTGTTGAGACTTATTGGAACGATGGAATGTGTACTGTTGAGGTTTTCCTAAGGGTACTCGGTAAATGTAGCAAATTGGTTGATTAGACAGTGAATCTTCATCGACTTGAAGTGATTAGTACATGTGTTATGTATACTTTATCACCGTCCACCTAGACGAGTGATGGTTGATAGTGCAGAAGTAGATAAGAAGATAGCTAGGTGCGGCCAAGTCAATACAAAGCATCAGTCCATGAAGTCTTTGACTACTGGTCTGAACCATGTTGATAGATGCAGACTACTTCTTTAGAGTTCACGAGGTAATTGTGGTCAGTGATTGAAGGATTTGAGTGGAATGACTGGGAATCGTTCACACTGGAACAGGTCCATTCACTCTTCGTGATGCCCATCTGTCTTTAGTTTGTAAAGGTGAAGAAAGTGTGAGCTGGAACTAAAACTTTTAATCAATGGCTTTTTAAATAAGCTTGATTATTAAATGAACTAATGACTTTAAAAGTATTTTTCTGTATTATGTTTTACTATCACTTTATCTTTAAAGTCCAATATGTTATCCGCTTATAGACTACTCGAGATGTTGATATAGATATGATTTTATCCTACCTACACTGAGTCATAGTTGGTCATTCATCATTAATTGAAATCATATGACATCTGTCTGATTGACACTGAACAGATCGATTCTTTACACAAAACTAATGTTCTTCATTTGTTTACGCATTTCCTGATATAATATGGATTTTATAACACTCTATTTGTTACGGATTGACATCAGTTTGGACACCATCGAAAATCAGGGGGCACTAGACAGCTGTTTTATACCACTATGAAACTCCTGAGCACTGCACATCTACAATCTCACCTATAATAGAACCTTGGATCTATTAAGATCTCTAACCGAAGTACTACCTACTTAAATATTGATTTAGGATTTACTGAATTATGCGACACTTGTCGAATGAGATTGGTGTTGATTTTTTGATGTGTATCTTAGGTGAGTTTCTCTAGTCACAAATTTTATCCGAGTTAAATTTGAAGGTTATTTATGTACCAAATAAATTCTTCATTGATCAACTTAAAACCTTGAAATAACCCATACCTTTTGAGAAAGTATGTAAAATTAATGTTATCTGAATGAATGTACAACTATTTACTAAGGTAACTGGTTAGGTTGTATCTAGTGCCAAACATTATTCTTGACAAATAAATATCATTTAAATTTTTTACATATTTACTGTGGAAAATGAAAGACAAGTTCCACTTCCTATTGTTTGTGATTACCATCATTTTTATTAATCAGTACTAATCTTTATGAAGGTTAAGTAGTCCTCATAGGGCCTGAGGCTCCTTAGCTCGATTCCATGTAGAGTCGTGGATCCACACTGCTGTTAAAGATGAAACAACTGTCTAATGCTTCCTAGTTTTCAATGGTTTTCTAACTGTCATTTTAATTATGTGAACTATGAGATCCAGCAATCTTCGCATATCCTTGCAGTATTAATTTTATTTATTTATTTATTCTTTGTGCTGTTTATAGAAAGATAAAGATTTAATTAAATCTCTCATTGAAAGCATCGATTCAAATCTTAGAAGAAATCGTTTAGAAACAGAATTAGTTGATAATAATAATGTCTCGAATATTAATTGTGATACAATCACACCAACTGATGTTGTCAATGACGAGAATTCGTTGGGACAATCTGAATTAATGAATAACAGCTCAGTGATACAGTGTAATGATAATTCACTAACTAATTGTAATATAATGAATGGTGAGATGTCATTGGACACAACAAATTGTACATCGGATATATCAGTGATACGAAGTTATGAATGTGATAATAATAACATTAATAATGAGTGTGGTCCTGATAATAATAGTAATGCTGATCTCCAGTCAGATAATTCGTTAAATACAACAATCGAACAACTTGATAGTGATAGTAATGTCGAGGTTTTGGGTAATTTAAACTGCGCAATAATCTCTACCAATCCTATTAATGAGATATTCACTGAATGTATATTGGATAATCAAACAATAAATAGAGATGGTAAATTTATCAATAATAATAATAATATTAATAATAATAATGAGAATTTTGCAATAATGGAAAAACGAAGTAAGGAAGAAAAGAAAACAACAATAGTGGTAGAACAACGACGACCACCTTTATTTCAACATTCATCCGATTCATTTATGACTATTGAAAATCTCTCTTCTTCATCTGACTTATTCCAAAATGTAAATATACCATGTTTCAAGGATGATAAGTCATTGAATTGTAATACCGAATCAGATCCAATTCAGTCATCTGTAAATGTTTTTGACGAATCAGATTCACTGAATACAATAAGTCAAAATGATCATAATCATACAAATGATGACGTAATCAGTAAATAAATATTATAAAACGGGGATCGAAAAAATCCAAATGAATTCCTCACCGTAATAAAGATATGCCTTCATCAGTAAATCTGTCAAAAACCAATATTAATGGTGTTTGACATAACAGTAATAAAAGTAATAATAGTGCTATGATTTTGTTGTTCAATATTTTTCCCCTTAGTATTAACTTTAAAAAAAAAACGAAATTAATAACTGTCCTTTTCTTTTCCTGGTAAGTGATTGGTAAAAGGTCATTGAGCTTTTTTGTTTTTATGTTCATTGTTAATTATGAAATGATTTTTCAAAGATCTACCAGAATCATGTCTAGTTTAAACAGGACTACTGAAGTGGTTGATACAGTTAATAGTTTTGTTTATTTTTGTACGACAGCATTAATATTAATTCTTCTGTGTAGATATCTTTCATCATTTATGTTACTGGGTAGATACATTAATGTTCATCCCAGCTCATATATACAATTAAATGTCCATCCTCTTCTAATTTATCCGTCCTCGAAAATAGTTGTTGAAATTGTATTAAATCATAAACTAGAATACATTTTTTGAGATTAAATATGAATTTCTTAAAGAGATTAATGTTTTCTTCAGAGTATACTGTTATCAACCAAGACTATTTGTGATAGTCACTTTGATGATTAATCACTCTCTCATTGTATCTTATCTTAATTAAGATAGAGATGAAAAGATTGTTTTGAGAAATTAATATATTGGTGTTATTTGTTGAATTATAAATTAAGAGAAATGTATCTGAAACGGATGAATAATCCAAACAAACTGAGATCTGGTTATTATTGAAATATAATAGGTAAAGAGTCAGGTATGTTACTTAAAGGCCACTAATTCGAGTTCTTCAAATTTCAGTCATCATTTATAAATCTATACAATATTACGTGTTATCGGCTCATATATCATATAAAAGATAAACAACGGTAGATTCTTCTTGAAATCATTCAACTCGGTGGCTCATACAAATGATAATAAAAGTGGTAACTTCTTGGTTAAGGTTGAATAACTGTAATATTGAATTCTTTTGTATTTATTCATATGGTCGGAGCCAGCTTTTTGATTTCCAGTAACATGTTTATTCCATCAGGTTCGAAAAAACCAATGTATTTTATGGTTTTACTTTCATGTATATTAAACATAGCGAGTAAACTGTTGTCTTTACAAAATTATAACTCAATCTGTCTATATGTACGCAATCAATTTGTGACTTCAATGTGTTCTATAAATTGCATTAAAACTATAGGTAACAGTTTTGTCATAGATATCGAAAATCAACTTACTTGAGAATTTTATATAGAGAAGGTTGATAATTCTTTATTTATCCTTTAAGTGAGTCCGCATCTTTTTCCCTTCAATAGATATTAAAAAGAGCTTAATAATTGTGTCCTATACAGATATAGTGTATTGAACAATAGAAAATGTCTAACATCAAAACTTTTGCATCATAAAATCATCCTATTTTCAATATAGCAGCTCACTTGTAATCAAGTTTGTTCACAAATAATTTGGTTAAGACTTCTTGTTAACTTATTTAACGAACAGTCATCCGTACGGTAACAATCTATTTATATCATTGTACCATTCTTATTGTTGCACTTGTATGAATATGTATCCCGACCGTTGTTGCTACCTTGACGTGGTGGTCGGGCTTGCCTATCGTGATGAAGCAACCGAGCTATACTGGCTGGAACAACCGTTCCTCAAGGTCCTACCATGTCAGACAGGTCGGTTGAAGAGCGGTAAGACTAAAATCAACAAACCCAAGGTCCGAAGGCGAAGTCGTACTGCTGACTGTACAGAGGTGTGACAGCAGTAAGGTGTTTCCTTCAGACAACCAGCATGACAGTGATGCTGCCTTCCCACAAGGAGGGGTGGGGTTAGAAAAGGTCGACCCTAAAAATGCACACCTCACCTTACCTCACGGATTTCCGTCTCCGGCGGTAAGGCCCTTTGAAGAACGGAGCTAACACGTCAAAAACCTCCCACGAAAAGGCCGTGCGCGACCGGCCTCAAGCAGTTGTCCCTTGGGCACTGCGGTCACGCTCTCAGGTCACTAAGACCACCTCTAATCCAATTTCCTTTTCAGGTACCTCCGGAACAACCCTTCCACGGTGTGGGCAACCGGGAAGTGATAACCGCCCTCATACCTCTAACAGCACCCAAGACCACTGTATTCATAATCAACCTCCCTCTTCAATTCCTATTATTCCTCCTACATCGACTTTCAACTTTAAATTTCCTCTCTCGGCTTCCACCTCAAGTGTCACCATAGCCAACGATTCTAGTGCACAAAACACTGTCCCAGGTCTACTGAAACCTCGCTCCAAACTACACATTGGAGCCTTCAACGTACGCACCCTATGTCAAATCGGTCAGCAGGCTTCCTTGGCTAAAACCCTAGAGTCTCTTTCCATTGATGTATGCTGTGTCTCCGAAACACGCATACAGGATTCCAGTGTGGTTATTCACTTGACCTCACCTCGGCAAAACGGAGAGCCAACAAGATACACCCTTCGTGTATCTGGTGACCCGATGGCCAGTTCTCGTGGACTGGCAGGTGTAGGCATAGCACTAAACATGAGGGCGGAACAAACACTGCTAGAGTGGATCCCCGTCAACAGTCGTTTATGTGCCGTTCGGCTGAACGGCTACGTAAGAACTCGGAAGGATAGGGACACACGTCGTTGCCTTTTTGTCGTTTCTGCCTACGCTCCCACTGACTGCAGCTCAGATGAAGTGAAAGATGAATTTTACAGAAAGCTGTCCGAACTTCTTCAGAAAGCTAAACGCTCAGACATAGTACTCGTAGCAGGTGATTTTAATGCTCAGATAGGCAGTTCAAACCAAACAGAAAGGCATTTAGGTGGATATTTCAGTGTTCCGACACAGCGAACAGATAATGGTGATCGTCTGCTGCAGCTATGCTCAGACAATCGTTTATTTTTAGCAAACACAAATTTTAAGCATAAGGAGAGACATCGTCTAACATGGCGACCCCCTACACCAAACCAACGATGGACTCAAATAGACCATATTGCCATCAGTCATCGTTGGAGAGGGTCGGTAGAAGATTGTCGCTCATTCTGGAGTACCTGCTTGGACTCCGACCATGCCCTAATACGGGCACGCATCTGCTTGCGCCTCACTGGACGCAAAAAAGCCACATTAAAAAGACCCGTTAGAACTGAGTTGAGTAACGAGAAAACCAAAAGTAGGTTCCAGGAAAAACTGAGGTCACACTTAGGTAGTTGTGAAGACGAGGCTGACCCAGATGTTGCTTGGAAGGGCATACAATCAGCTGTGGAAACAGCAGTGACATCTATTAGTGACTTAAACCACAGAGTTGCAAGGAACCAGTGGATTTCTTCAAGGTCTGTCACACTGATGGATTCTCGTAAACTCGTCCCATCAGGTTCTGAACATGATGAAGAGCGAAAACAAATCAGATCTAGGTTAAGAAAAAGTCTAAGGAACGACCGTGAGCAGTGGTGGGTAACGAAAGCAAAAGAGATGGAAAAGGCGGCAGCTATAGGGAACACAAGACAGCTTTACAGACTAATAAAAGAAACTGGAATTAATAAGTCAAGTGTAAGTGAGATTATTTCGGAAAAAGATGATACTCTCATCTGCTCCCAGTCCAGGCGTTTAGAACGATGGGCGGAACATTTTAGAGAACAGTTCAGCTGGCCTTCAGCTACTGTACAACTACCCTCTATTCCCAGACAGTGTGAATGGAACATTGAAGTAGGTCCCCCAACTCTTGCTGAAGTTCAAAAGGCTATAGTTAATCTGAAACGAGGAAGAGCAGCTGGTCCAGATGGATTGGCTCCAGAGGTCTTTAAGGATGGTGGTCCAATTTTAGCGATTAGGTTGACTAATATTTTAGCTAAGATCTGGGAATTAGACTTTATCCCATCTGACTGGTCGCAATCACTTATCGTCCCAATATATAAGAAAGGGTCAAAATCATCCTGTGACAACCACAGAGGGATTAGTTTAACAAACATAGTATCTAAAATACTGGCCTCGATAATTATCAAACGCCTAACTAAGACTCGTGAACTACAAACTCGAGAGAACCAAGCTGGCTTTAGACCTGGTCGTGGCTGCATCGACCACATATTCACCATTCGTCAGGTTCTAGAACACAGGCATACTTATCGGCGTCCGACGATGGTGGTATTTCTTGACTTAAAAGCAGCATTTGACTCGGTAGACCGCGAGACTCTGTGGCAGTGTCTGTCATTGAAAGGCGTACCTCAGCAGTACATAAACCTTGTGAAGGCTCTTTACTCGAACACTACTAGTCGAGTCAGAGCTTATGGCGAACTGTCATCTACTTTTGCAACTTCAAGTGGTGTCCGTCAAGGCTGTCCACTTTCTCCATTTTTGTTTAACTTCATCATTGACCTATTGATGGAAATAACACTCTCGTCGACTGAATTCTCGGGTATTGATCTCCTTCCAGGAGGTCCACTTATCGACTTAGAATACGCAGATGACATAGTCCTGTTTGGTGAAGACGCTGACAAAATGCAGAGTCTTCTGGTAGCACTAAGTAACAATGCCAGAATGTTTGGGATGCGCTTCTCTCCCTCTAAATGCAAGTTGTTGCATCAGGACTGGTCTGCATCAACACCTGAACTAAGGATAGGGAGTGAAGTAGTCGAATGCGTCGACAACTTCACTTATCTTGGAAGTCTGATCAGCCCTAATGGGTTGGTGTCTGACGAAATCTCAGCACGGATTCGAAAAGCTCGTTTGGCTTTTGCCAACTTACGTCACCTTTGGCGGAGGCGAGATATCCGTCTATCAATAAAAGGACGAGTATACTGCGCAGCAGTCCGTTCTGTCTTACTTTACGGCAGCGAAACATGGCCTTTAAGAGTGGAAGACACCCGTAAGCTACTAGTATTTGACCACAGATGCCTTAGAAATATTGCTGGCATCTGCTGGGATCACCGGGTAAGTAATAGTGAGGTTAGACGCAGGGTATTAGGGAAGGATGGTAAATCAGTTGATGAGGTTATGAATCTTCATCGACTGAGATGGTTGGGCCACGTATTACGTATGCCTGAACACCGATTACCACGACGTGCAATGCTAACCGGTGTAGGGGATGGTTGGAAGAAAGTTAGGGGCGGCCAAACCAAAACGTGGCATCAGTGCCTGAAGTCACTAACTTCTAGTCTGAGCCATGTTGGTAGATGCAGACTACTTGGTTGGGGTCCGCGTGACTTTCGTAACCAATGGTTGGAGACTCTTGGTGACATGGATCAGAATCGATCACAATGGCGTCGGTGTATATACTCTTTGTCTTCCCTTAAACTAAGAGATTAAAATCACTTCATATCTTTCTTTCTACTAACTAATTCTTTCTTCCTATACTATATCCTTATTGCAACCTTTGACCTAACCACTCCTATGAATCCGGTGTTCATCTTGCTGTGCTAATGAGGTATGGCAACCTGGACCGATGCACATATGTGCCTGGTCCTACGTTGTAGCTGACTGAGTGATGAATATGTATGCTTGAGTGTTACTTACTTACTGTCTACGCATATATTCATACATTTGAACCTACTCATTCAACTCACTGACTCGCTCTCACACTCGCTTGCCTGCTTGCTTTTCGGCACTACTATCTCATGCTTGTTTAGTGTACCTGTAAATTTGGATATCTGTGCGTGGTGCAATAATGAACGTAATCAACACTTCTTATTTGCCTTCTGAATAATACACCGTTTGGACATTATCAATTGACGGTTATCAGGACGAACTATATACGAAGTTTAAGGATTATATTGAATACCGACCACCACACCCATACAATTGATAAGTTGACATTAGTTTGACATAAACTTGTCTTGTGTTACCACACCATTTTTCTGACTCAACTATGTTCACCATAGATAGATAATCTGAATCCAAGTTTTTGTTGAATTTCATTAAAGATCACTAGCAATGCATAACATTTAGTTTTTCTGAGATTAAATATCTGCATCTTATATATCCAATAGATTTTATATTGTACTACAATTATTCCATAATGTCACGATGTGTTATTACTTTCTGCATTCCTGCCTTTGTCAATTCTCATAGACCATAACATTGCCAATCCACATTTATTAATTAAATTACTTTAATCACCAATAGGTCAGTCATACGTCATGAATGTTTCAATTAGTGACTTATAGAAAATGACTCTTCTCCAATCTATCTAGTATTTAATTTGTTGACAATAGAAATTATTACTTTAAATATTCTTTTAAATCAGAATGTTACTGCTTACATAACGAGTTTGTTTGGAAAGTAATCATATTAGACATTTATAGTGAAACTATTGATTTGATTCTGTCTCGTTTGATTAGGTTAATTTCGTTTATTTATTGTTCCACGTAATAAATTGTTTGTAAATTGTATATGAAATGTTTTATTTATCGAATTCTCATGTTTTTTTTAATCTTTATTAAAGCTATTCAGAATCTGTTCAATTGTCGAATTCTATGATATATATACTGATTTGGCTCCAATGTCTGATTCGACGTACAATATCCACGATACTAATCCGTACCTAATAATCTCTGAATTTCAATATTGACTTCTACTTTTTCTCAAAAATAATATTCGTTGTGATCTGTTTTTTATTTGTTTTTTTATTATTAAAACAGAAAAACTTTCTTTAATAAATACTTACCTAGTAATTTTACAGTTAAGTCGTTTTCTCCCATATCGATTTCAATGGAATTTCACCAACTCAATTCTAAGGTTTATAATTGTTCATTATAAAATTTTATTTTCGTTTTTTTGTTGTAAATTGTATTTCCAGTTACTGTTATTTTAATTATGTTGCTTTATTATGCAAACGTATACGGATGTATACATTCTCAACTACTGATCATAATGATAATTGCAATACTTTACTGACCTCTTTCTCATGTATCATATTGACAATAATGAATAATATTGTAGGTATCGATGCCAAGGTTAGTCTTGATAGTTTCAGATAAATTGAGCTTTGGGTACAAGGTTAATAATAAATATATTTTTTTGTTATATCCCAATGAGTAGAAAATTTTATCCCTGACGTTTCGTGACCTATTGTACGCCACTTCTTCAGAGTAAATAAATAACCGAATTTAATTTACATATGTTTAAATAGTACTAAGGAAACATTGGAGAAGTTGATTACATTAAGCCACGAAACGTCAAAAATACAATTGTTTACTCATTGGGATATAACAAAAATATATATTTATTATTAATGAAGAATATTGTTATCATCAAACACTTCTTGAGTATGTTGGCATCAGTTTAAATGAATCTTATTTACTATTAAAATTGTACAATGCATAGTCATCTATACACTCATCATTTATTCTTTTGACTCATATACATTAGTTTATTCTTATTATCATTATTCATTTCCATTATTTTACTGTATTCTACTGTAATTTGTTTTCATTACCAGTATCGTTGCCTATGATAATTTTAAATAAGTATCAGTTTATACCTTTTTGTACACACTTATGTTTATTTCCATTTTAATCTAATATTCTTTTTTTTTATTTCTCATGTTTGTTTTTGTTTTTTCATTGTGAAGTTACAAACAGTTAAACAAAAGGGTTTTACGTTTTTCTTTTCGGTTCTGTCATGTTTTGTATATTTTTTTCGAAGAATACTAATATTATTATGATTGTCAGTAAAACAATATATTTGTAACTATTGAATTATTAAACTACTGTAATCTTTTGTTTATTTTGTTAATTAGATATATCATAATGTTTGTTTGTATGTATATGTGTGGATGGATGGATGTTTGTTTGGTTATCTTTAGGAATTTATCGGTTAATTCATTCTATTTTCTGATTGCAATACATATCAAAATAATTCTATATTTTCTATGACATTTTTTTTCCTGCAGTTACACCTTTAAACTCATGAATCTTTTGTTAAATCGTCAATTCACCGTTTGTTCTCATCATACTTAATTTCTTTTGTGATAGGTCATTATCATTCATTAATGAAATACATTAATAAAAAAGTAATTACATTCAGTCTATTTTCCAATTTGTTGAATAAAATCATTACCTATAATTGTTGAATTGTATGCGATGCAAACAATCAAACTTGTGAAAGTATTTAGTCTAGTAATAACTACTTAGTTTATATACGACTAAAATACTTTACAGACGGAGTTCCTTTGATAATAATCCCATATTGATTTACATTTTGAATAAGACACGTATACGTATATACAGATTGTTCACGAAAAGTTTTACACAATCTAAATGATGCGATGATGGGTGCTATTTGAAGTAATGACTAAAGTTTCTGTATCATGTGATTTTTAGTAATCACCAACTATTGATTTATCAGTTAGAATAGTTATTGATTCAAAGGGATGATCCTATTGTTGTATGATATGTTTCAACTTCATTTCATGTTATTTATGATTCATTTAACAATTATGTAGACAAATAATACTTTTCTTCCTGGGTAACTTTCGTACAACTAGTATTGTCTCATTAAAGTAGTTGTCGTGAGGTTATTCCCAGCATTCCACTTATCAGTAAGTGCATTGTACTCAGCAAATTTGGTTGTCTTCCCGCTTTTTTGGTGAGTGAGTGCTAGATAATGGAGTAAAAGTTTCATCAAATATTTCATCTCAATCTCTAACGCTTGCTACTTTTTTATTCGGGCTGCTACACTGACATGTTTGTAGCAGATAGTTATGAGTAACTCCAAACACCTGAAGTGAGATCCTCCATGAAATTACACTACAATATGCAGCACATATCCATTAAGTGAATGGAAGCATGGGTAAAGCTGCCAGATATCATGCAGTTACTGAACACTGAAGATGTTTCGGTTAATCTCATCCCATATCCTAACTTTATAATTCAATAAGCTTATAAATTTAGCGTATAAAAGTATTTTAGTATGTAGGTTTTACGATGGAAAACTGGTGTATTTGACATTACAGTGCTTCAGTTTTATCTACTCAAATGTCTTTTCAGTATTACAGTGAAATCTACTTTTATTATGGATTCATTTTACTTCCCCTCAATGAAAGAAAGTCTAAAAGTGTTTTTTTTTTAATAATAAATTCTTATAACTATATTACCACAAATTACTAAATATTTTCTTAGATTGTTTGACAGTAAGTGGTAAGATTTGTCGTTAGATTCAAGATAGTCATCTGTATTTCTGTTGATAAGTTATGTATGGAAGTATTGACTTTTATCAATTAGATTAATTTTATTTAAGTCAATGAATTGATGCACAAGATCCATCAGCACACATATACCGTTGAAATAGCTACGATATATTTTATTTCTAACTAGAGGGTTGTGCACGCAAATTAAATGATCTAAATTTGCTTCCAGATGTTTGGCGACAATTAGGATAAAGTGTGTACTTGTATGTAGAAAAAAACACAGTGTTGAAACTCAACTGTTATAAAATCTTTTAGACCCGTTTAGCATACATGTTGTATTGAGCAGAGCCTACAAACCGAAAATGAACTGAAACGTAACCCGATAAATGAACAATTGAGCATTATTTAAAAAATCCTTTTAAAACTTGAGATAAGAAAGAGTTAACATTTACAAGAAAACCGGTCTTCATTTACAACAAAGCTGACAAAGATATTTCTGTCATCTAGATAATCTTCACTTGTTTATAACTATTGGCGCTTGACAAATGTCATACTTTTTTAGTTTAAGATGTTCGTGGATATTGTTAATTTTCATAGTTTCGCGGTAGGGTCATGGATGTCTACTCATTAGGTGTTCCATACTAGGATAAAACAACTATTCAATGCTTTATGGTTTTAAGTGGTTGCGTAACTAAGAGCAGTTCGTGATGTAAACTGTCAATAATCTTTGTCAATGAAACATTTTGGCATTTAACATTGTCATTATAATCTACAAACAGACTTTTATTAACTGTAGAATAATGAATGAAATTATTTTTAACAAAGTACTATTACACATATTTTTGCAACTATTTGTCCTTACAGTGATGTACCCTGTTCTAACAGCGTGATTTTTTTGTTTTTCATATTTTATCACCAACGTTTTACTTGTATTTGGTGTGCGTGTATGAGTATTTGTGTTTTTGATATGTAACAACATGAAAATAAAGTTCATCTATTTCATTTTGAAGTAGGATTAAGGCGGGACAAAATAATCCGAATAATGAGAAATGATAGTTTCTTACTAACAAATAATGCCTTTTAGTGTACTACCATTGAACACTACATATGTTTCTTTGGAACAGTTGAAAGAACATATACTCCCTTTGGTTTTGTAGTATATTTATTGTTTATATTTCACTTGTCATCCTTTTTTGTTTATTTTCGTCAGTGGTAGACTATCTGTCCTTTCATTCCAGCTTATAATTGATGAAGTTAGTTAAAGAAAAACGCTATAGTTCTCTGTTTTTTTCGTCAGATATTTGAAATTATTTCCCAGAATACAGATTTATATGCGCGAACTCATAATTAAAAATATTTCGTTTTACACTGCAATAATTCATAATAATATAGAATGTTTTAAATAATATTCTGTTTTCAGGTATTTGACTAATTTCTCACATTTATTAGTAATAAACATTCAAGTACTCACGCTTTTATTCTTCATGTCTACCTACTCAGAGCATTAATGACGTAATAGTTGGTTAAATAACTTGTAAATACCTTTTAACCTTTTATAAGACAAATAATCCTTTCTTATGGAGTGGTAATTCACACGTATTAGAACCCACCCACAAGTAGATTTCAATTTATTTAATTATCAAACATGATTGAGATCATGGACTGATCAATGTCAGACCACCATTGAAAACCTGGAAGGACAGGACGACCGTTTCGCCCTAGTATTGGATTCCTCAGCAGTGCGCATCCACGATCCCACACACGGGAGTCGAACCAAAGATCTTAGGTCTAGTGCGCGGACGCTTAAACTCTAGACTACTGAGCCGGGATCAGACGGTGCTAATGTCTAATTCCAACCACTCCACGATATTGCGGGACCGCCTTCATTGTCTTTCGTGAGTAACTACCTCACAGCATAACTAATGAAAGTTGATGTAAAGGTGGCATACTGTTTAGCAGTAGAAAATCATTTTGATGCATTTATTTTTATTTTCGCCTTAAATGCACCTTGAAATAAGTAAAAGAAAAACATCTTTGAAATAGATAAATTAATATATTTGTAATATCCAAATGAGTAGAAAAATTAAATTTTCTGACGTTTCGTGACTCAATGTTAAAAAATGGGGATAAACAAATAGTGAGTAAGATTGATCAAAGGTCAGCTATACAGTATCTCGTAATTACTGTAGTCAGTTTTCTCCTTAACCGTTATTTGACAAATCAGTTATTTCTAACATCATGATTCCATAATGAAGTGATTTCAAAGCAAATATATTCACGATTAGAATATTGATGTTTGGTACGGAGTAATGAGTGAAAATCTGATGAGTAGGCTAAACTATGTAATAGAACTTTAACTCATCTAATATCAAATATTTAAAGAGAATTAACAAGGAGTATTTTTTTCTGAATGGGCAATATGCCACTGATAATCACCCAGTGATCAATACAATTGTATGTATTATCAGTACAAATTTGAAAAACCCAGGAATAGCGTTTCGAAGTTATCACCACGTGAAGTATATCTAACATAACATCACCTCTAGTTGTTGATACACTTTATTAAGTGCTAATAATCTCAAAATACGAAGCTTACAGAATGCTGTTTGTGAAATGGATCGATGAAATGTGAGCAAAATTAAATAAATATCAATCCATAGAACAGTAAATATGCTTTGGATGTTTTATGATGAACAAAGCAAGAAACCAAGTTTCATTGTAAATCATTGTGACGAAGTCAATGTTATATTAATTTTTAAGTCATATCATATATTGTGTCCTGTTTAGAAATATCTGATTTTATTAAAATAGAAAAGTCAGTTTAATTCTTTTTTTTGTTTTAAAGATTTATCACCCTCACTACAGTTGTGTTTGTTAGTGTAAAAGATTTAGAGAAAATTTCTAAAGAATATTATCTATTCCATGAAATATAGGAAAGTCCAGGTATGATACTGAAGATAAATAAGTACTTAGCTAATAGGTTATGTAATTTTGACATTGTTTTTAAATCGAACTTATCGTAGCTATTTAAGTTTATGCGGATATCTCTTTCTAGAAAACATATAAGTATACTGATATATAGCGTGGAAATAGCATATTTTTTGTGTTATTTGACGTTGAAAACGAATAATTTATAGGTATTCAAGTTGTATGTGAGCCAATAATTGCGTAATGTATTAACAAGATACTGTTAGGACAATTGTTGTAAGACAATTTATATATGAGAGCCATCGATACTACCCAGCCACCTAAATAATAAATCTACGAAGTTGGCTTTAAGCTGCTAGCTTGGCGACTTTGTTTTTTTAACCAGCTTCTTAATTATTAACACCCTATTGTATTAATGTACGAATTCGTCCTGATAAATATCTTTTATCGACCAAGTATACGTATCAACTTAGATGTACCAACTTCTATATCCGTTATGTTTATTGTCGAATAAATATAGGGAGATATTAAGAAGCCACCTACTGGAACCTATTGATCACTTACACCTCTCGTATAGATCAGTTAAAAATTTTGACCAACTTGATTTTGAATATCCAAATTGTTCAATGAACTATCCTCTTACGTTATTACTTATTAAAAAGATGCCTATAAAAATAATTTGACACTACAATTTATTTTATAATGTCATCCAGAGATTCAAAAGCCTATTTCGTCTTTTCCTCCCAAACTTCCCAACTTTTACGAGTTGAAGATATCACCTCATCATTTAAATGATCCAATATTTGAAAGAAACATGCAATAAAACATTCTATGAAATTATTTTACAACTATTTGTATCATATTATGGACAGTCCCCTGAATAACAACAACTGGAGTAATATCTTCATATTATCTAATGATAGATTTATAACATAATGTTAATTTCGCGAATTATATCTCGCTGATAGGTTTAATAGAGTTACTGAGTACCTTAATTTGATACCGAATAAATTGATTAGCTTTTGATTTTGTTGTTCAAAATTTTAGTAAAAACTGTTTTAATGTATCCATTTATTATACACACGATTTCTTTATGGACATTTATTATTGTATTTTATTTTATATTAGTTTGCCTTTTGTTTGGACAGGATGCTATGCAGTAAAAGGTTGAAACATTTTGAGATAATAATATAAACTACTCTTATTAATATCAGTAGTTAGATAAGGTCTACACATTCTCCAGCCTACCATGAATAACGTTAACATATCCAACTATATGAAAACTGGCGATGACGATTGTTCAAAACCAGTCAACGAAATTGTAGTTTTGTAATTAAACAGTAAAGTCATGACTAAATGAAAAGAAGAACTGGTTTATAAAAGCCTCTCTTTGATGCGGCGAGTGTAGATTTATGTTCTTTATTCAGTTGGGCTATTATCTTGTTTTTTGATTGGCACTTCTGGCCTACATCAGGTATCGAATTAATGTTTAAGAAAAAACAAATGTTTTAAATTTATCGGTTAAGTTGAGCAGGTGTTTTAGTATTGGATTTTTCGTATGGATTTATATACATTGGTATTTCCTTAAACAATCCAAAATTGCGTTTATATCAGCTTTGTTCTATACACTTCCGTTGAATTATCTATTCTAATTACGGAACGTAATGTAAATTATATCCCAAAACGTAAGAGTTTTGATAAAGATATTTTTGAACGATCAAAATTTTGCATATATTCAGTACTTAACTCACGTTCTGACTGTATCATAAAGTGAATTGTCAACAAAGTAACTAGTTTATATGGTGACCCTACGGCATAATGAGGTATTTTAATGTTAATTCAGAACTTATCTACACTTCTGTTAACGTAAGATATCATAACTGTTTTTACTAACTTACCATGATTATAATTGTATTTCACTGAATATTTCAACTATATATGTTTGAACGTAATTTCTTAATGAGTGTAGACATAGGATATTTCTTCTCAATTTCGTCAGATATGTCAAGATTGATAACAAAGACTGGTTCGTAGTCACATTTAAATCAGTTATCTTTGGATTTTCAAATCGAGGTATTTCTACACAAAATCTGATCTACAATGATTTTAATATCAGGTATGCCTTAACTGTAGAAATTCCCATCTACATATTACATGATTTTATGATATATTCTACTGTCCCATAAATCTTCATTAAAAGCATCTCTTCTTACTTTAGATGATTTTTTTGTCGTCTTCAATCATAAAACAAATAAATTGTATGATTGTATTACAATCTAATCGATTTATTTCAATTGGTGATCAAATTTCTCTTATTAGAAAAATTACAGCTCAAGATGTGAATGATTTTGCAAAACTTACTGGTGATATTAATCCAATTCATTTAGATTCGAATTATGCTAAACAAACACGTTATGGAAAATGTATTGTACATGGAACATTTATTCAAGGGTAAATAATTATCTAATTTTACTTATTAAATTTCGTTTCATTTATCTATAATTTTAAATATTATTGATTAATTGTTTGAGCGTAAATTCAATTTTGTGTATTAATTTTCTTCTTAAATGTAGTACAGTATCAATAGTCGGTTACCTTAATCAACCAATGGTAATAAATTAGTAATCCGTAATTTAAAAAAAACAATTTAGGGGCGAGCTAAGCAAGATTTTTCATCTTTCCATGTAATTATTCACTATTTTTTTGAGTTCTGTTGGTAGCTGCAAAATTTCAGTTTGGAATCTGTGGGATGATTTCAATCTATGGTTGTGAATGGTAAGTAGTCTGACCGAAAATCAGTTTGTTTGGAATAGTTGGATTCATATATTATTCTCCTTTAAATCGTTACGCAAACTCAACCACCTCCTACCTTGGCAAATCATGTTATATGATGTAAACGTAGACTGGGAGAAAACTGGGAGATCCAAACCAAAAAATAACATCAGTCCATGAAATTACTGACTATTAAAACTTTATCAAACAGCTCACACTATTGATGTTGATATTTTCAAAGTTCTCAATATAATAAGGCTGAAAGATTATGAGATGGCAAAGTCTAAAGTACATTTCCTCAAACAATAATATACACGCATTATATCATAGTTTGATTAAAATGTAGTAAACCGTACTCTTGAAGTTGATCTTGTAATTTAATATTCCAACCAACAAACCTGAGTGTACTGAATTCACTTACTAAATTAGTCATATACGTGTACAAAATAAATGTACCAAGAACAAATGGAAAGTCAGTTCGTGATTTGTTGCTTTCTAAATATATTTCTCATCTTCTTTATGCTTAATTCATTCATTCTTTGTAATAAAGTATATATACATTGCAAAATTTCAGAAAAATCGAATTAAATCAAATAACTTATTAGTCAAATATTATAACCCTAATCTCTTCTTTTTTATTTTATATTTAGTGTTTCATTTACGAGCTTGTTTGTTTTTTTTAGCGAAGAAAACTTTCTTCTCGACAAAACCATCTATTTTTTCTATCTTTTCATGGACATATATTTCCTATATAGCTATACATACGGATGTACAGCTTAAGTAAAGAAATTTTTTCTTCACGGAATTCTCTTTATTTCTATCCAATGACACAATGAATTATTTTTTCTTCTTGTGAGATTGATAATAATCTCATAATATCTTTAGTCAATTATATCCTTTCATGTGATCCTGCGAGTGAATTAAATTTGGTATTGTCCAGGAATTGAAAATATACTTTCATAATAATTACTTTTGAATGCAGTTGTAGTGAACAAGGACACCAGTGGGGAAAATCAAATGCATTTAACACAAAATTACAGGACTTGTTAATAAAATCTAACAATCATAAAGTAAATGCCTAATTTGCAAAATGTCCATCGATTGTCTAAAAGTGACTCAGACTTCATTGTTCTTGCATTTTGATACAAATTGCATCCTGTTTCCATTCTTTACTGTTCGATCCTCTTGTCTCTCTGCTGCTCGACCTTCTGTTTACGACTAACATCATATACTACTTATGTCAATATAAGTAGCACACACCAGTTATTAAACTGAGTATTCTCCAGTATTTAGTTTTAATTACCTAATATCAATTCATTGTTACATTTTTAAAATTACTAAATGGTAGATATAATACTAACAAGCAGAGTTTTAAATATCATTCTAGTTCTTGTTCTTATTTTGATGGAGCTTTTCTGATAAATGAACATCGTTTTGATGAATTTCTTCAGTTCGTGAACTGCGTTTAAATGTTGATGTATTCATAATATCTTCATTATACAATTAGTATTATGTTAAATAAGAACACCATCGATTTATTAGAATGGAAAAACCAAAGGATAATGATTAGCTTTTTCATCACAGCACACAACTCTCCCACAATTCTGTACTGGATATTTAGATATTACAGAGTATAAAAAATTCAGTCACGAAGATATATTTTCAGATGATGGAGATTCGTAGTTCACGTTAGTGATTCTGATAACGTTTTGTTCTCTGAAGTACCTGAAGTTTGAAGACGTTCAGAAGAACTCTGAAAAGCTTTACGACTAAACCATCCAGCTCAGAGAACAAAACTTTATCAAGATATATTTTCATTATTCCAGTAGATGTATGGTAAAATCATCTTAATCCTACTTGTAGAAATATCTCAGATTATATCGTTAAATGATTTTTTGCTTGATAATTTTCAAAATCTTCAATATGATCTTGTTTTTGACAGTTCTATACTTGGTATTAATCAATGATGAAGATGAGTGTAAATTTTTAAAACAAAACTTCTCTCCTTGCTTATGAATGATTATAAGCTTTTCTACATCACTTCAATTTGTTTGTTGATCTACATTTTCTTTCAATTGTTGTTATTATCATTGTGTTTACTAATTCATTTTCTATATATCTCTTATTATGATAACTTTTTCAATGATTGGATTATTTATTCTCTGAAGAAGAAGAAGAAGTGACTTACGCTGAGTCCCGAAATGTCAGAAAATTTAATTTTTCTACTGATTCAAATATTACAAATATATTAATTTATTTTTCAATGATTATTTAGTTGTGTTTATTTTTTCGTCGATATAACCACTTACTACTTATAAATGTCTAAAGTATAGCGTTATTTTAACTAAATTCCAGTGGGAATTTATTGTTTAATCTTGGTTTATAACCAAAAAGTTTTATTTTAGAATAAAACTGTTTAGTAACTAAGTGAATTAATGTGTTAAATTTTCTCAATATGTATGCATAAAGAGATAAAGATTAGTAAGAATAATTTATTAATTAAAAGAAATGCATACACCAGATATTGAACCACATTCATTGTCTGTTTATGAGATATTTGGCTCATCAAGCAAACGTTGTTGAAGTGAGACTTCAACTTGTAATTCTATAAATGACTACTCACATTTCACTTTGTTCCTAAAACTTATTTCCATGTTTATAAGATAGTTATTTATTTTTCTGAAGTTAGAACCTAATTTTCATAGTAATTTTAGTTTTAGCCAGTTTAATGTGATACAAATCTTCAAATTACCATAATTATAAACGTTTGAATTGGCTATTTATATTAGAGAAATAGCCATTATAATTATACAAATCATCAGAATATATGTTTGTTATCAGTAATTGCAAGAGAAGTGCCACCAACCAGTATTCTTTGACGATTTTCAAGAACAATATACAAATAGTGAATCGTTCTTCCTCTGTTCTAGTTATATATTTATCAGACATTTTTTACTGATATTACCATATCCTGCGAAGGCTTATAGAAACTAAGGGTCACCTCTAGTTCTATCAAAACTTTTTTCTCCCCAAATGCCCTGGTATGGCCGAGAGTGGGAAGGGTCCGCCTTCTCGTGGCTGGGGTGTTGTCTACGAAAATGAGAGGGCGAAAAGTGAATGTCCGGTGCCTTAACCGGATTCCAAACCAATGGTGCACATGAGCTCTAGTACCCTGAGGGAATATATGGCGTATGAACCAATCGTTGGTCACCAGCTACCATGGGACTGCATCTCCTCAAGATGATCCACTGCCTTGTGAGTCAGACCTTCAGGTCAAAGGCTTGGGGTGTGGCCCCACCTGCGCACCTGCGCAATATCACAGCCCACACACAAATAAATTGAAGATGAAAATGATGATATTTACTGAAAATTCTATTCTCGCTTTGATTTACAGTCAAACAATTCACACTTATTATTACTATTATTATTGTTTACTGTGTCATTTATTCACTCCCTTTTATTCCCACTTTATGTATCCTTATTTTTCGACTTATACGGCAGCTCGCCTATGGTGGAAAATCGGTTCTACCTAAACGTTCTCGAGTCACTGCCTGGTTGAAAATTGTATGCTACCATCCAAATACGAATGCTAAAGCAGTTTTCCTGGGACCACGTGAACCATTCAAACTGACCGCCTTCAACGATTGCACACTTATGCAGGTCGGACAACAGATAGGGCTGGCTATGTCTTTGGAAAGTCTTAATATCGACGTTTGTTGTCTATCCGAGACCCGTATTCAAGACTCTGGTGAAGTGCTACAAATTCGCTCTCCATCTGTCGCTTCAAAAAGCTTGTTTTACGTGCGTTTATCCGGGGACCCTGTGGCATCTTCGTCTGGTCTTGCTGGCGTTAAAGGCGCACTAAGCGCTAGAGCTGAGGTAGCACTAATCGATTGGATCCCCATTAACAGTCGGTTATGTGCTGTTAGATTAGAAAGTTCCATCAAAGTGAGAAGAAATAGGCGTGAGAAACGGTGTCTTTTCGTCACCTCCGCCTATGCCCCGACAGATTGCAGCCCGGATGCAATCAAGGATGACTTATATCACCAGTCAGCTGTTCTCCAGAAAGTGCGTTCAACAGATATTGTAGTACTAGCCGGAGACTTGAATGCTCAGGTCGGGTGTCTAGGCACAGAAGAGAGTCGTTTAGGTGGCCTATGGGGACTAGTTAGTCGCGGGACAGATAACGGGGACCGTCTACTGCAACCGTGCACAGACCACAACCTGTTTCTGGCTAGCACTAACTTTCGGCACAGTCATCGCCGATGTGCCACCTGGCGTCCTCCCTCTGCATCCCAAGCCTGGCCTCAGATTGATCACATCGCGATCGGCTACCGCTGGCGTGGTTGGGTGCAAGACTGCCGCTTCTCTTAGAGTACCTATCTGAACTCTGATCGTGCCCTGGTCTGCGCCAATCTTGCCTTACTTTTCAGTGGCCAACCAAGTGACCGCCACCAAAGGATTGCAACTGAGTGTCGAACCGAGCTAGCTTCTAGGCTAGCTATCATTCCACCGAAAAGTATAGATGAGCATTGGTTGCAACTTCATGACGCCATCAAAATGGCGAGTAAAGGCGCTTGCGGCTTCGCGAAACGTTGGAGCGTGCTAATGAGCTGGAAGCATCAGCTGCATCTGGTAACTGAAGGAAGCTCTTCCAACTCATCCGAGCCACTGGCAACAAGAAGTGTGGTGTGAGCGAAACAATCTGTGAGGATGACGGGATGCCAATCACTAACATCCATCGACGTCTTAGACGATGGGCAGAATTTTTCGAAGGGCAGTTCAACTGGCCTGCTGCTCCGGCAACATTGATCAGGCTGTCCTGCCCTCCATGGCCGGTGACGACTGATCCACCCAATGAGGCGGAAGTCCTCTAGGAACCCCAACTCTTGAAGCTCTACAAATCATTTGGCCCAGATGACTTACCTCCGGCTCTTTTTAAAGATGGCGGTGACTTTCTGATTAAGGAATTGACGACGTTGTTTACAAAAGTCTGGAAACCAGAGGGTGTATCAACGTCATGGAATGAGTCGATAGTTGTCCCTATCTTTAAAAAGGGTTCACGTCGTTCCTGCAACAACTATCGGGGGATAAGTCTGCTTCCGATTGCGTCCAAGCTATTGGCTTCCGTCATACTTCGTAGGTTGTTCAAAACCCGAGAAAGATTGACTCGCGAGGAGCAGGCTGGTTTTCGTTCTGGTCAAGGATGTATTGATCATATCTTCACCTTCCGCCAAATGTTAGAACACCGTCATACTTATCACAGGCCAACAATCGTAGTGTTTCTTGACATCAGGGCTGCCTTCGATTCGTTGGACAGAACTGTTCTCTGGGATTGTCTATTGAAGAAGGGTGTGCCTGAGAAGTTTATTAACATCCTAAAGGTTCTATACACAAACACCTCAGGCAGAGTGAAGGCATACAACCACCTCTCTCTATTGTCCCATTCGAGCAGTGGGTTTAGGCAGGGTTGCCCAATCTCACCATTCCTCTTCAACTTTACCATCGATGACACTCTGGAAACAGCTCTGATGGATGTAAGTAATGGCGGTGTGGATCTGTTGCCTGGAGAAAAACTTCCCGACCTTGAGTATGCGGACGATATTGTCTTACTGTGTGATGGTGCCCAAGGCGTGCAATCCGCACTTAATCACTTAGTAATCAATGTCCGTAGGTACGGTATGTGCTTTGCACCTTCGAAGTGCAAAGTACTTCTACAAGACTGGCAGGATCCTAATCCCGTAATCACCCTGAATGGTGAGCAGATAGAAGTAGTCGAGAAGTTCGTGTATCTGGGAAGCTGCATAAGTGCTGGTGGGGGTGTGAGTGATGAGATCAATGCACGAATAGTGAAAGCCAGAGCGGCTTATGCCAATCTGGGCCACCCTTGGCGCCTTCGTGATGTTAGTCTGGCTGTAAAAGGTCGGATCTACAACGCGTCGGTGAGAGCAGTTTTGATCTATGCTTGTGAAATCTGGCCTCTCCGAGTTGAGGACGTTAGACGACTCCCTGTGTTCGATCATCGCTGTCTCCGAAGGATTGCTGTCATTCAGTGGCAACACCATGTCAGTAATGCAGAGGTTCGGCATCGTGTGTTCGGGCACAGAGATGATAATTCAATTGGTGTCACTGTCTTGAAACACCGACTTCGGTGGCTTGGACATGTTCTCCGAATGTCATTCCAGAGAACTCCTCGTCGTGCATTATTTGCGGACGCCGGGACTAGTTAGAAAAAGCAGAGAGGTGGTCAGTGTATGACATAGTGTGGTGGTATGAAAGAAAGCTGCGATGGGCTGGCTTGTGTTGGTCCACCACGATTCCCTGGTTGGGGTCCGAGAGATGGTGCGACACAGTGGCTAGAGACGTTATCAGATATGGCTCACAATAAAGCCATTGGCGATCCTGCTGTAACCTTCTTTTACTTTCTTCATAAAAAGTGGTTGCTTCTTCCTTAACTGAAAGAATTCTTCTGGTTGTACCTTTTCGTTTCCCCCATTATTATTATTATTACTACACTACCGTACACTAATCTGTGGTCATTATTGTTCTTTTTTTATTTTTTTTCCTTATACACACCTTACCTTCTTTTTTGTCTTCCCATTCTCATTATTTTGTGTGGCGCATATATATATGCTACCCCGTTGTACCAATATTTATGTGTTCAAATAAATAAATAAATGAAATAAACTGTACATAATCTAACATTTGAAGTGGTATTTTTTCTATTGCTCGAGTTTTATTTCGTATTTGCGGTAAGGGATTAAAACATCCGAAAACTAGAAAATATCTAGTAATACTGTGTCTAAAGCGTTTAGCGTACAAGACTTATCAGTGTTTCGCGCATAAATCGGTTATCATGTATTGATTATTTTCATTTTCTGCCTCATAAGTGATATTTACCTACTAATTTTTTCAACTGAGAGTTTTGATGAGATATGTTTTCATTTTTAGTGACTGATAACAAGTGATATTACTATTTATAACTATGTTAAGCGGGTGTATGATGAGGTTAAAGTTTCTCTACTCTGTTGTTTGACTTATCATGCTACATTGTTTAAATAAATCCTATAGTAATATGGTACGAAACATACGTAAAGATTTATATTGTTGATGAGTGAGTCATAGACGAAATATTACCTTTGGATATTGTTGTTGCTTAATAAACCATAAGATATTTAGGGTTGGTGATTGTATTCATTATCCATACAACTCATCATTAAATTAAACTGTAATAATTGTAGCTCTTTAACTTGTTTAAACTATTTAAAATAAATCATCCCAGCTTCTTGTAATGTCTACTAATATCTACTAAATTGTTGTGTTTGTTATGTATAGAGTTTTCTTGAAAATTACTTCGGAATTTTTCTCCATTTTCTCTTATCTTTCGTTGTTAGTCTACTTTCTTGTTTGCTTGGTGTACATTTCCCTGGGACCGGATGTGTTTTACATGCAATAAACTGTAAATTCCCAGAACCATGTAAGTTTTTATTTTTAATCAGTATCTAGTTTCTTTTTATCTATGTTAGTTGTATAAATAGTTTGAAGCTAAATATGTTGATGCATTTAGTCGGCAGGAGACCTTTAGCCTAAATTTCATACTAATTGCTTGAAATCTTGAAAGAGTTAGTGCTGTGTGTATGTTTTAAAAACACGTTACTCAGCTCCAGAAATTTTGTTCTTTATCTCTCTCCATCATCGACTGTATCAAGGCACTTAGGGGGAAAATAAAAAATTACTTGGAAAGTGTAAATTACCATGTTCAATGAACTAGAATCTACCGTTTAATGTTTTAATGCATAAATATTCTTACATTGTAAGAAAAGGACCTAGAGTGCATTTATCTAGCTGTAGTGTTGAGCTTTTTAAAAATTTTTATTTATAACAATCATGTTTTTTAGTCAGTTTTTAGTTATATAGTTTATGTTTTTAATTACATAATTGTGGAGTGGACGATTATTTTGTTCATAATAATTCTAAGTAAGCTTGGCAGATCAGTATAATTCAACCAACTGATGTAGTTTTTGTGACACAGTAATAATCTAAAGAAAACAAGGAAGCCATTGACCATCTTAGGGTGTCAAACAAAGGTTACATTCTGTTTTCGGGTTTCTCAGTTGTAAATATATGCAAGCTTAAATTCTGTGACTTATTGTCAGTAGTAAACATCTTTTGCATAGTTACTTCAAACAGAAAAAGTGTTATTTGAGTTCCAGCTAATCAACTTTCATGTTTGATCGATTTTTGTCTTCGTAAATAACCAGTCATCACAGAATGGTTGTAACGTGTTGTGAATGATAGCGTGGTCGACTAAGTAATTAAGTCGGATCGATCTAAAGCATTACATCATTCTCGAACGTTTTCCACTAACTGTTTGTCTTGATACACAAGTTAATTACTGATTGAATATACCTTCTCTCCTTGATACATTTATTTTACAATATTACTTGTTGTAGTTCATTAATTTGGTAAATGATGAACATATTAACTAGATTTTTTTAGCAAATAATCTAGATACCTTACTTTTAGGTTATACTACTAAGATTTTAAGCTACTCAATTGTATCTTCTCAATAGTGATAATATCTCTACTTTGAATAAAAATAAAGAAAATTCAGCGAAGAAAATTTTCTTTCTGATGAATTCATTTACTTAAATTACACATTTGTATTTATAATTATATGGAAATATATGTATATGGAAGGATAGAAAAGATTGCGTCATAAATTGATTCGAGACTCATTATCAAATGAGGTTTTGCAACAATCAAGGGGTAAGAGAAGGATAGAAGGCTGGAAATAATTCACAGGTCTGAATTATGAAAGATAATTACCCACTTGACAGATATGAAGAGAAACGAAAAACACAAAGGTCATAATAATAAGGACTGAATAATAATCATGAAAAATTGTTAAATGGTAATAATAACTGGTTACGGTTAAAAATTACAAAACACCAACAAAAAATCAATAATAATAATAATAAATAAAAATAAAAAGTGAAATAAAAATGGAAGAAAAATCTAAACATACTGTATAAAAGGGAATTGGGGCCAAAGAACGATGAGAGGTTATACATATTGTTTTTGCACGCGAAGTTCGGGATTGAGTTGGTGGATTACCAGTGCTTCAGCAGTGCATAAGATTTTCATTCGACCTCCCTTCGGTCTAATTCCTTTGACTGTGTAGATTATTTTGAAAGAAGATTCCTTTGGAGCGATGTGTCCGTTGCTTCTGCTCCTAACGTGAACTGAATTAAGGGAGGGGGATTGACAATTATTGAAACTATCCAGAATTGCATTGAGGTCCCCGTTTTCCTCACAAATAATGAAAGTATCATTCATATATTCAGAGGCAAAACAGGGACTTCATTTTCTTGATATCCGGTTGAAAAGGTCAGATGGTTTTTTACAGAAATCTATTTAGAGAAAACCGATCTGAAATGAGCAGTACACGAATTTACATAGCTAGGTCCCACTGGGTAGAAAGAAGAACTTAATTCATTCTTTATCCTCAAAGTTCAAAATAATCTACACAGTCAAAGGAATTAGACCGAAGGGAGGTCGAATGAAAATCTTATGCACTGCTGAAGCACTGGTAATCCACCAACTCAATCCCGAACTTCGCGTGCAAAAACAATATGTATAACCTCTCATCGTTCTTTGGCCCCAATTCCCTTTTATACAGTATGTTTAGATTTTTCTTCCATTTTTATTTCACTTTTTATTTTTATTTATTATTATTATTATTGATTTTTTGTTGGTGTTTTGTAATTTTTAACCGTAACCAGTTATTATTACCATTTAACAATTTTTCATGATTATTATTCAGTCCTTATTATTATGACCTTTGTGTTTTTCGTTTCTATTCATATCTGTCAAGTGGGTAATTATCTTTCATAATTCAGACCTGTGAATTATTTCCAGCCTTCTATCCTTCTCTTACCCCTTGATTGTTGCAAAACCTCATTTGATAATGAGTCTCGAATCAATTTATGACGCAATCTTTTCTATCCTTCCATATACATATATTTCCATATAATTATAAATACAAATGTGTAATTTAAGTAAATGAATTCATCAGAAAGAAAATTTTCTTCGCTGAATTTTCTTTATTTTTATTCAATTATCTAATGGGTTATTTTAATTATCTCTCCTTTAATTTATTCATTCATTTGATCACAGTATTTGTTGATGAAACATGTCGAATAGAAGCTCTAGTATCTAAATTACGTGGAAGACTAGCTACTTTCGATGTAAATGCTTATGCCTACGAAAGAAATGCGGTAAATTTTTACTTTATTTTTTCACATTATTTTGCGCTCAAGACAATAAAGTGAATTTCGAAGCTGTTCTAAATCATATATGAAGTTATTTTTTTTCGAATATTAAGCGAGTATTCATATAAATTATTTTGTATTAACTGTAATTTATTTTCTCCTTCATTGTGTGCTATGCAGTACTTGCTCGACCCGATGTTTTTCTATCGGTTGTTGAGGGAACAAATATCTTGAAGATGTCTATAAAAATGGCATTTAGGTAAATTTATACAAAATAGTATATATGTAGCGAACGGGACTTGACGAAAATGATCAATTTTTTGTTTATAGCAAAATTACAGTGTCTTCATAAATTCTGAAAACCATACATTAAATACTTCATTTGCACATCTTCAATCAGTTGTCCTTTACATCCTTCATGATTGTTCCGATTCTGCTTTTACTCCAATTCTTTTCTAATTTTCTTTCGGTTCTCTTCAGTTCAATCTTCTGATGTCAGCCATCCCATTTCTGATTGGTGTTACATGCTACTTATATCTGTCGACATTAGTAACCTACACCACATATATAGTGAAATATTAATTTACTCTATACTTGAATTTGATAGATAATGACAATATGTTAACTTTTAAAGTTGATGTAAAAATGATTGGTTTGAAGTGTAAATAAAATTCTGAAATTCATATAATTTATTCAGTATTGAATGATTTAGAATTATTTAATGTGAAAAACCTGTAGATGAAATTAATTTTAACTGTTGTTCAGAAAATGATTTAATTTATTTCAATCAAAGATTTGAAACACTACGAGAACACCAAGGTTTGCAGAATAAAATGAATTCGTTATTCTATTTCATGGTTTCGCATTAGCTGCATACAACCTACAACAATTATGATTATTCATATAATTATTCCCAAATGTTTAGCATACTTTAATTTGTGAAGTTTAAATAAATGTTCGAAACGTGACCCAAATTATAATCATTAAAGGAATAAGGATACAAACTGGATACACATCGATCTTATTATTATTATTATTATTATTATTATTAGCTTTATTCAATATTATATTTTTGGTACAACGTAGAATTCTCAGCATAAAGTATTTCAACAAGTTTCCTTTTCTTATATCTTGATCGATTGTGACGATAAATTTTGAATGATGACCATTTAGATGTTAGGAGTTCGGTAATCCACATTTGATTAATGTTCATTCGTTTTAATACATATTGCCAGCCACCATTATGTCGCTGATTGTACTTTTTTGTATCCCGTATATCGAAAGGTTGTAAACTTTTCATAAACGCGCCTGAACAGATTATGAGCACAATAGACATAATGATGTGCTAAAACAAACAACAAAACAGATAACTTGAAGAAATATCTAGATCGGGGAAACAGGTAGCCCAGATATTCAAGCAGGCCGCCAATAAGGTGTGTTTATTCACACATTTTGCAAAGCTTTTTGTTGTTGCTCGGGTTTGTCAAGGAATCTCGTTGTATTGTGGTGTGTGCTACTGATTTCGACAGATATAAGTATTATGTATCATCAATCGAAGTTGAAATGTCTGGTGGCAGAAGGTTAAGAAGATCTAAGGAAAGAGAACGAGTATAGAGAATGATTGATGTGAAAATGAAAGAACGATGAAGTCTGAAACGATTGATTGACATTTTGCAGAAGGAACATTCAAGTTTCAGACAATTGATTGAAATTTTGCATATGAAGTATTTACTGTATGGTTGTCAGATTTTACTTAGAAATTCTGTAATTGTGTTGAAATACATTTAGTTATCATCACTGGTGTTTTCGTTCACTACAGTATGAATAATGTTAAATTACAATGATAACAAGGAATACATAATAGAGTGAATAAATATTTTCAATAACTTATTTTTCAGGCTCTATTCTTCACATTAATAATCCTAGGATTATTTTTCGGCTTCATTAGATGAAAATTACTAAAGTCTGTATAGTATTAAGGTTTCAGTTGAATTAATTAGTGTGTTATAAACTCAAAATAATAGATTTCATTTCGTCTTACTTTTAAACATTAAAGAGATATCATGAAAAATGTATCATTGGATTAGTTAAACGTATAATTATGTGCAAAATAATATGCGAAAGGGATTTTTGTGGATATTATAGTAATTTAATAGTTGAGATCATGTATCAGTTGAAGCTAGACCATCATTAAAAACTTGGAAGCACTGGATGGCCGTTTCGTCCTATTATGGCACTCTTCAGCATTTCGCATCCACGATCCTGCCTCACGAGATTCGAACCCAGGTTTTCCATGGTGGTCTAGCTTCAATTGACTCATGATCTCAACTGTTAAATTAGAATAATATACCTTAAGATGATAAATTATAATCAGTAGATCAAAACATATTCTATGGAAAATCGTATGTTAAAAATTGATTCAATGTAGGTTTTGTTGTTTCGTAATTATCTTAATGAGAGTAACAATAATCATTCATACATTCAGAAAGTATATCATTTAAAATGAAAGGGATGTATGTGTAGTTAAGAATGAGAAAAAATGACATGTTAAGGAGTATATATGAGAATAAAAAGAAAAACTGGTTATGTTTATGTATTCTGTTAAAATTGGTTTAAGAATACGATGACTTTATTGTTAACCAAAGTAAACCAAGACATTAAATGGATCCTTTTAGTACATATAAGTCAGGTTTTTTTAGAATTGATACCATTTTCTTCAGCTTTACAAAATAAGCGTTATCTTAAACTTCTTGATGAATTATTCTGAAATCGGTGTATAACTATGAAGTATCTTCTATTCTGATATCATATTCATAGTCAATTATATGGAAAAGAAGATTTGTTACATTTTTACTAACCATGTCGGCATGTGTTCACCAACGATCTAGAATAAGGGTCTTTAATTACGGCCAATATAATTACCCTTACCTTAGTATTTACATTGCTAAAGACGCATAAGTGAGCCTGTCGTTAGTATCTTAGCTTTGATTCACTCCTTCAGTATTGGTTTCATTGAGGAAGTGACGTGTAATTTCACAGGTTTAAAATTTGTTTTAATAAATCTACTCAATCAATGTGTAAGAACTTTACTTGCTCTAATATTACTTTCGAAATCAAATTTTAGGCAGAGAGGTTTCTTTTCGTTTATAACAGTACATATCTCGTTTTTTTGGTTCTTTTACGTATTTCTTTATGAATTATAAATTACTAATCATAAATTAATTTGTTTAAATTGATACTTCACAAAAAAACCTAAAAGTTATTGAATAATCTTTCTAGAATATTTGTAATGTGTAATTTTATGTCTACAAACTATTTTTTTATATTTTATAGAATGTTCTCACTGGTTATTTCGATGTATTTCTAACACGTGAACAACTTTCTTTAAAGCCACCAGTTGATAATCAAATTGTCTATCATAGTGATTAATTCGTTAATGCATTAACCCTAAATGTACATATGTAAATATAATGCTAATAAATGAAATTATATATGTTAATGTTTATTTCGGAATAATAAAACCATATTCTTCTTAAAAAAAGATCGTCTACTTTCTTTGACTGATGGGAAAATCTGTGTGGTTGGTTGTCTTAGCTTTTGTTGGCTACATGTATCGGGTTGGCTGTGTGTTCACACTTATCTTGTGTTAACTTACCATGATACTTTTTAAGATAAAAGTTAGTAATCTATCTATGCTGGAGTAATGAATCTCTCATTTATCACCATTGATGGTTGAAAGCCAAATCAGTGATTATGAAAAGTTTTTCTATGATTAAATGTATATCCAAAGCGCTATTTGATAAGAGCGATAGTTTCTACGATTCTAAAAGCCGGGATATAATGAGTATCCCTACGTTTTAGTTCAAGGATAATTGTGCTGAACTGTGGTTTGAAGGCTAGACTACTGAACTGCTGACTAATGTGTCAAAATTCTTAGTCTCTTTAAATCTAGGTATAATAAGGTATTTACATTTTTCATTTTATTGTTGATATTATGGTTTGTTGAAAAATTTAAATGGTGTTAATTTTTAAGAAAAACCCCGAAAATGGTATTTGTTTACTAAAGCAGACTCAACTGACCATCCTGATAATTAGATGAGACAAGTAATATGATAAAAATCTATATTGATTAAGCACTTAGTGTTCAGACTACAGTAAATTTCTTTCAAAGGAAAAATTTCAACATAATTCTTTTTGTGTAATAAACAGTCGGTTATGAAATCAACTATATATATTTAAACATATAAACATTGATACATGGAGGCTACAAATATATATGTGCCACACTTCGCCATTCGATCTATGTGAGGGATGAGATACTGTCCGGGCGCCAAAACCAAAGCAGATGGTTTACTTACGAGGCCACTGCTTTAGCTTTTGACCTAGAGGCTTAATCCACCAGGCGTGGAGTAAGATTAGGAGATGCATTCCAATCGTAGCAGCTGATCAACAATAGGTTGATATGCCATTTGTTTTCTCATGATCCTGGAGCCATTGTGCAGCATTGGTTTGTAATCAGAATTTTCAAACTCTCCTAGTTGGATCCTCAGTACCTACCAACCTGGTTGAAGCACCAGACATTTACTTTTCGTAAACAGTATGCAGTTCTTGCCTTGAAAATCAGATAAGAATACTGGAATTATATAGCCGAATAACGGTTGATGCGCTAGATAATCAACCAAAATTATTTTGTCTGTATGTTGAAGGTGTAGTCGAGTGACACAACTCCAGTTAGATCATCCAAGTTTCTATTCTATAATTAAGGGCATCTCCTACACACTGAAACATAACGTCAATTCAAATGATTGTAAAATAATATAAGTGTTTATTAGACTCGATATATTTGACGTATACGAATACTATCGTATCACAACTACTTCACACATAAAGCTAGAAAAATAAGTTTATAACACTAGCATAGCAAGTCTTAAAAAATGTATAGATAACCAATGATGTAAAACAGAACTGCTCTAACATGTGTAATAATTGAGTATTGTCATGTGATACTACTTTCACTGTCCAGACATATGTTTTAGTTCTTTTGTCGAAAGGTGAATGTAAGTTTTCATCTATTTGTTATGTGATTTATAAGCAAACAAATGGATTATTATAAAGGTGTTTTTGGAGATGGTAAAATAAACTCATCATTTTCATGGAGTTTTCTATAGATAGTTTAAGAAGCATAGCAGTACCGATAAGGATTACTACTCCCTTTA